TCACCTACTAATACTGTCCAATCTGGATGTCAACAACATTGCATTTTGTCTCATTATATGAAAAAACATGATCGTTCAAAATTTCTGTCAAATTTGATGAATTAGAAGACCTAAATCAAAGCAATTCGTAAAGATTGTGGCAGCTAATAGATGTATTCCTTTCATAGTGTGTTTAGGAAATGTAATTTTTTCAATTAAGTCAAATATAAAGATTTCCCTCCTTCAAAAACATTTAAGATGTGATTTTGGATCATGTGCTGAGGTACTCGGACGAGTTGTTTTGTGGTGACTGTTAGTTTGGTTTGCTGGCTCTTGTCTTCTCCAAATCAGAATTCTGGCCATGCTGTCGGGGATAATAACCTGAATACCTCACAATGTTCTCTCTTTCTGTTAACTTTCAGTTGCTGTAGACTGATAGCTTTGTGTAGGCATAAATAGTAATCAAGGGGAGCATCTGCATGAAAGAAACTAATGGTAGTTTGTACATCTCATTATTTAACCTGCTTAGCAGCCCTGTGATGCTGTGTTGACATCCTCAGATGTTAAATCAGGCTGTATAGTTCTTTTCTTTTCACTATGCTTCACTATCTTCTAACTTCTGTGACCAAATCAGAGAAACTATTAGCTTTTGAAATATTTTTGAGCTATGATATGTGTATATGGAGAAAATTATTTCAGTTGAACTTTTTTCTGTTATATTGGCTTTCTTTTCTGTACATATTGAGGGCTTTTACATATTTGTCTCTTGTACTATCTGTCATCATTTTTTTAGATACCATTTTCTAAATTCCAATTATTCACATGTATATTGTCTACGTAGATCTAGTCAACATTAGTCTGTAAAGACTTCCTTGTATCATCACTCATTGATTGTGAAAGATACATGATCTGCTGCCTGTACATTGTATATAGATGTAAAACAAACAAAAGCTGATCAAATTAAATAAAACCCACATGAAGAATTAAGATTAGCTAGGAAGTATAATTGTATGCATATGTACAAAAAAGAATCTTAAAAGGATGCAATTGAACTGCATTTGATTAACTTTTCTTCATTCTTCAATCATGATTGGATGTGTTGTCTTTACTTCTTTTATAAAGGTGGTTTGGTGAGTCGGCAGGCTACTAATTGGGGTTTCTTAGGAATTTGAAATAAGGGTTGAGTCTGTCTTAACAGATATTGTCTGAATGATGTACTGTACTACTGAGAAACCTAAGCACAGTGCTGCACAGCAGCAGAAGTGGCACCTTGCTTCATCTGCTTCCATGCCCCCCCAAACACCTCATGTTTCCACGCCCTCCTTCAGAGAGGAGCAGGTTTTCTTGCCAAGATGTAACTCTTCCTTTTGGCCTTATGTGTGGTGGAGTGTGTACACTTGTCAATTTAGATCTATTAAACTCTCTTGAACTTACAAAATTGTGAAACATTGCCCCATTGTCTTGGTGTGCCGTAAAGATTGCCTGGTTACCTTTTTGTTAGACATGTAGCACTTTATGAAAGATCAAGTCTCAATCAAGCAAGGCCCCTACTACTGTCCTGTTATTTTTCTTATTTTGCTTTTTGATCCAATGGGTTTAAATCAGTACAGTTTCATCTGGACAAGAGTGCAGATTTACTCTTGCATCTTACTCATTTAAACAATGTTAAATGTGGTTCCAGATGTGTGTTTGTACAGCGGTGTCCTTTACTAGGTGTGACGGGGCATTCTTTTGGCTATCTGTCTTTGCTTTTGTGCCTCGACGCTAATTTCTGTTCCTGCTTGGCACTATCAGTTTTTGTTTGACGTCTCTGATATGAAGGGTGGGGCTGATGCACATTATTTTTTTAATTTGAGTGAATCATTACAAGGAAGTTGATCATGGCACAAAATGAAGGAGGGGGCAATTTATTGTTTGTTTGGTTTTCTTTTTAGAGCTTGTGTTTATGCAGAGCTGCTATACCCACCCCAGAAACAAACATGGCTTGTGCTACAACTTAATAACCACGGGGGTGTCGCTGTGCAAAACGGAGGGCTGATGGGTTTAGAAAGGAAGTTTCATACATCTATTCCTGAATGTTCTGAATGTTTATGGTGGTGTTGTATGTATGTCTTATTCAACCGGTAATCTGTCATTCACATCTGCTCAGTTCTTTTAGTGATGATGTAAGTCATGCAGTTTTAAATGTAAAAATGGAAATGAACCCAAAATAAGTGCTCTGGACACTGTTGACTTACAGGAAGAAAAGCAAAGGAAACAAATGTCCATCAGCATTTGAAGTGATATTAGTGTGTCTGTGTGTATGTATGAGAGAGAGAGAGAGAGAATGATATTGATCTTGCTTGAAAGAATGTGATGGTGTGTGACATGTCTTTTATCTAGATAGGACATGGTTTTTGGCTGCAATTTCAACTTTCAGCTTCTGAGCTGCATGTGAAAACCAGTGTAAATAACGTCATTTCTACTCTTGACCTGACTCTCTTTTTTTGAAATGCAAGATAAATTTAAATTATGAAATCTGTCATGCCACCTTAAGGGGTCAGTACTAACATGTACATGAAGAAGTTGTTCAGATAGTCCTCAAAATACTGTCATCGATTCTGAGGGTATACACCCATCATGTGGATAATTGGATGGTTTATATTTCATTTACTTTTAATTTGTCAAGGTGAATAGTGTGTAAAGGGCTTGAAGTGCATCTGAATTGCCCGCATATTCACTTTCCCTGTTGGATGACAACAAAAAACATCCATTGTATTTTGAAAACTAAAACTGTTTGTAACCCTTGAGGCCTGTCCGGACTGTAAAACAACATGGTTACTGGTTTGTTGGGGGAGGGAGGAGGCATGGGGTTCACTTTTTCCAGTCGAGTTTGACATGTTGAACTGGATCCCAGTTCCATGGCTTCAAGGTGAGTGTGAATGTCAGACTGAAAGTATGAAATACTGATTAAAGATGAGAAGCTGTAAACTATTAAATGGGATATTTTCAATTTATGCTGTGTATTCTTGTCTTTGGGTTGGAGAATATGATCAAGCAAATAAAAGAGTCAAATAAAAATCTAGTTGATCCCATGGTAGTTTGTTTTCTTGGTTTGGGGTGTGTTAAAACATTCTAAGGTAAACTAACATTTATATTTTATTAGCACCAATTTGAAAGATCAATGCCATGAGACAGAACAAATTTGTAACATAAATGTTTTCCAGAGGATCTTAATATTTTTAAGCTTCAAATGACCATTTTTCAATAATGCAGCAATATTGAAGTAAAATAACAAAATTACAAATAATCTGTACAGTTCACTTTGTAAATTTGCTATGAAGTCATCATAACTTTAAGTAAATCAGAGAGCATATTTAAAAATCTTAAATTGGAACTAGAAGCCATGCGGTATTTGTGATGTCTGGAGGTTAAACCTTGAGCATGAAGACTGAACCTTTTTCACCTGCGTGTGTGTGTGTTGTTACAGAGGATTAGTGAGGTCCTGGGAGGAGCTGAGATTCAGGCAGATCAAGAGCCTGATAGGCAAATGGGAGACATTTAGTAGGTAACGCACAGGTAAGAGTAAAAAAGGAAAGGAATGACTGAATTCCATTAAGCTGCTTCATTTTTGGGGTCCTGGTATTATGCATGGCGTACGAGGTAATTTAAAACAGAGCTACTGTTAATGTCAATTACAATCAACCCTTTAACAAGAAAACGTGTCAGCTTTAAAAAAAAATAAAATGTCCCTTTCCTTTATTGTGTTCAGAATAAAGTTAATAATGAAGCAGGTTAGTGTGTAGCTAAGAATTCCTGACATTATTCGTAGCACTCAAATGTTTTGCCTTGATTCACTTAGTATTAAGTCAGCATAACAATTTATGTATTAACCTAATTTAAACAAGACATTTATTCCAGAGTTTTTAAATGTATTTTTTTTAAACCACAGGCTACACATTGCTCATAAGGGTTAAGCCCAGATGAGTTATTTAATGAGGGAGTTTCTCCTCTGGGTTTACCATGTATGGCTGCTACTGTAATTGATGACACCGTGATTTGAATAGTTGGTTATAAGAAAATATTTCTATCTAGAACATTAACTAATAAACCTTTATAAGCGTCTAATTAGTTCCTAAAATTTGTAACCTACTTTGTTAATGTTTTTTTTAAATGTTTTTTTTTGTTTGTTTCATAAAGCAAGAGTCATGCTATGAGGTGGTGGGGCATAATACCAAACAACCAACAACAACTTAGCAGCTAACCAAATTAATACCACATAATTGCCACTTTGTTAGTCTCGGGGCATGTAGCTACATATCTTCAAATGATGGCCGTATATATCTTCAGTAGCTAACTAGTACCATTGAATTTGTACAGGAAAACTAGCACTTGAGTTGGCCATGTTAACCCCACTGGAGCAAGTTAGACAAAAGGTAAGAAAGAGAAATTTAATAAGAAATTTATAAAATTGGCCTACAAGTTTTAAGTCAATATATTTCATAGCATGTTAATTCAGAATAATGTGACAGCATTGTTTTTGCTAAAGCATTTAGACTAACATTTTCTTAAATAAGTAGTTTAAACAGTAAAAAAAGAAAAGCATCCTAAAGTAATGAGTTTGAATGTTAGTTGATATCTAGCTCATGGTAATGGTTTAAGTTAAGTGGACTCTTATAACACATTTAACATTAATAAACATGACATTATTTACTACCAGCCAATAAATAAGGTCTTTAAAAGCTTAACTATCCACATTGCCCTTTATAAGCTAAATTAGTAGCAACAAAAAGAAGATAAACTCGCAGACATATCATGCATAGTGTAGGCTACACAACATAGACTGAAATAAGGTACACCTTATTATTTATTATTATTTACAGTCTATGGTACACACACGTAATCCACAGTGAATCAAGACACGCCTTACAGAGGGCGTTTACCATGATATTTCACTGTGAACAGCATCAAGTGGTAAATGACTTGCCAAATGACAAATGTGTTAAGCCTCTCCCCTCAGAAAGCGGCTGATGAATAGTAAACACCCTGAACCCGCCCATTTAATGTTTATTGATCAGGTCTCCGACAGGCCTATCTGACAGCGGTCAGATTCAGTCTGGATATGGCGTCGCTGCACCGACACAGGATGAATTTTCTCCTCTCCATGGGAATTTGTGTGTCGCACACCCGGACGGCGTTTCTTGGTTTTTGTCGCTCTTAAATGGGGATCATACATGGCGATGGAGGACGTGGATAATAACGCAGCGGTCGAGGCGACTAACACCAAAACGGACATCAAGGAAAGAGGTGATGTCGGAGTTAACGGGGCTTGCATAGACAGGCAGCCGGACACGGTGGTCCACCAAGCGGGGCTGAATCGGACTGCAGATCGCGGCAGCCGCAATGGTCCGGGAGCTCACACTGCAACAGGGATAAGAGTGCTAAAGGCAAGTCATACGAGAGGATTTATCTTCTTGTGGTGCAGTTGATGATTCAAACATGACAATGTGGTCGACGAACATTTAGGTTGGTGTGGTTTTACGTGTCAGGGGATTCTCTCACATTTGCAATTGGGGATTCAAACAGGGCAAAGTGCACGAGAATGAAACGAATCCTTGTAATATTATGTAATGCCTGTGATATCCAGAGATTTATACCCCAGGTTGATGATTGATCTGTGGATGACTGCCATTAAATGAGGAATGTACCAGAGCCAATTAACAGCCACAATCCACAGACACACGCACCCACTGAATGCAGTTAAAGCTTTTACAGGAAGGCCCATTGCTGAACAGTTGGTATGAAATTTGAGAGAAGATACAAGATACATGATATATAATAACACATTATTCCCAGAGGAAGGAGCTTGATGTGTTTGGAAGATACACATCCACCCAATGGGGCTTCTACTCAACTAATGTGTATGGATTTCAAAATTATTGGCTTTTGCAATGGAAGGATATTTCAGCAAATCCTTAAAATGAAATAGGCCCTCCTGTAAAAAATAAGTAAAATTCTTCTTTTTTAAAGTTTTTAAAAAACCTTACACTTTTCTTTTAACAGAAAAAGTTCCCCTGATGTGTTAATCAATCCAGGGAACGTATCCAAACCATACATTTCTGCCTTTTTTCAAACAAAGATATGATCATGATTGTCGACACAACATCATAAAGCCTACAAAGTAACTCCACCATTGCCTGACAAATCTATTCTAATTTTCCCTGAAGTATGTTTGGTTAACTCGGGCCAGGTTAACCAAACATACACTGAACAGCCCTCCTTTACTGTTTAATAAAAACACATACACACCTGGGAGCTGCAAACACATCTGTTGTCAACTAGTTTGGCCATTAAGTTATTCAACAGCAGCAAGCATGAGTGATTTTGATGCATCCCTCAGACACACCTTGATAGAAGCTGAGAAAGTAAGGAAGGGTTAAGGGCAGTTCACTTTTATCTGAACATATTTCAACAAGTGTGAAATTTAAACTGACACCTTAGCTGTTGTGCTCATCTCTTTCACCATCAGCATAATAGTGCTACAGTTATTTCTGTGAGTCGAAGTGTATTCTTAAACTTCGAAAGAGAAGTCGATATTACCTGAAAGTATTATTTGTTATATATAAAACATGTTGATTTCCACATAATGTAAGGAAAAAACAATTTCAGTCATCTAGTTACTAATAAATAGTAAACCCACCCATATATTCAATAGCCATACAAGCAATAAACTACATTTTCAGTTTATATGACTGCTGAAATGGAGAGGCTACCCAAGTGAATTGATTAGTTTAATCAAAGGAAAATGAATTGAGAAAGTAAAACTTAGGAGCAGCTGATTTTACCGTGATGTCATAAGCACATCAGCCATTATCACATTTATGGTCTAGCATTGCGTAGTTTCAGGAAGAACATAAGGCAACTGCACATCCGGTAAAAATCCCTATAAGTGATAATGGCAAGGAAAATGAAAGGCTCTCAGGAAGTTTAGGGTTTAGTCTAGAGAGGAAAGCAATTCTGTTTTTAGTGTTATGATAGGAATTAACAGCTGCGTACCTGCTAAAAAATCAATATTGATTATCAAACTTTAATTTATTTTACCCTTGTCTACCCTAGTACAACAACATGGGGAGAGGGTTGCCAATTTCTAGACTGGTCACCTTCATTTGATTGAAAATTACTATCAGTTTAATGACTCATCCCTAAAGGTGAACATCAGCCCCATGGTTACTTTGGTTCTGTTAAGATAATAGATTCTTGAGTTAATCAAATTGCTGTCTACATACGGCATAGATGTGTTGCAGTAAGCCATACCCATCCCTAATGTGATGATCATCACTTTTAACCATCTTGAAGCTCTTTAGGCACCTGATTAGTGTTCAACATGCTGATTTGTATCTAATGTCAACCTGTGTGCTATGATGACTCTATGTCAGCAGCGCAACATAAAGCGGAATGGGAGTCGTGGCTGTGTGACAAGGAAGACAAGATTTGGATCTCGAGAGAGGGATTGGCTAAAGGGGGACACCCAACGGGGCTGCGTTTGTCTGTATGGGGGGACAGTGGACCCCCAGCCCCCTGCCTCTGGCCCACAGGCCTCATCAACCCCTCAGACAGACCTGCAGTTGGTGCTCTGCTCTACCAGTACCACAGTGGAGGAGCTGTGTGCTCAGAGGGACGGACAGGGACTCTATGTTCAGCTTCATGGAGACCTAGTCAGGTAAATACACAAAAAGTTAAGTCATGTAAGAAAACTTGTGATTTACCTACCCTTTGGCAAATGTGCATTGTCCACCTAATGATTTGACATAAAATATCCTGAGACGTTTAGATGGTAACACAGAGACATACTGTAATTAAGAGGCTATTGACATTTTCTTGGGCAAGGGCCTTGTCAGAAGTACTTCAGATAACCTCCCCTCTTTTGGAAACAGCACAGCAATCAAAATGTTAAACCTGCATCAGTAACTCTGAATGGGCCAAACACATCCACCACCCAACAGCTGCAGTACTGCATCAGTGTCTTCATTGGATCTATTCAATACAGTACTGCTGTGCTCCCAGCTGAATGTTTAATCATGTACTAAGAAAGACATGAAGACAAGTAAAAGATATAAAAGATTTAATTGTGTAAACAGATTAGTTTTTGAGTTGCAGTTACATTGATTACAGTGCAAGTGAAACTTGACGTAATGCAGCTGGTTTAGACATCTGCATTGGTTAAAAGAGAAGCACATCTAGCAACAGATCGAAAGAAAGCTCAAGTGGGCAAAGTAACATGTAATAAATGCCTTTAATATGTTTTATATTTCTAGTAGAGCTGTCAGCAGGGCCCATTCACTGCTATGTGATTCAGATCTGAAAATGAATGCAGGCTTTTTTCAACTGCATTGATCGCATTTGTCGCGATTGTGTCCCTGTAGGTGCACTGTAGCTAAGTCAAGTTCCTTATTTTCTTTCAAAAATAAAAGCATGGATCCGTGACCCAAGGACAAATCTGGGCATTTCTGTCTTGTGCTTTCATGGGACATCGCATGCCAAGACATAAAGAGTCTAAATTGACATCAGGAATAGTACAAATCACTGAGACTTATTGTATGTGGCCATATATTTTAATTCTTGGAATGAAAATATCTTGAAAGATATATTAAAATATCCTATAGTTATACAAGACCTAGAGACTTTAAAACAATGCTAGTTGGTTATTTATAGTGCAGAATTGTAAACAAATATGTTTATCATTGAGCATTATTAATATCTGGAATATCATGCAATCCATGAGGTGCTGTAGTTCTTGGGTTAGGGTTAGGGTTAGGCTGGAAGCATGGGTGATCACTTTGAGGCATTTTATTTGGTTGTCAACTAACAGTATGAACCAACTTTTTGATGAAACATTATATCTCTGGATTCTCTGCTGATTTGAAGTTGCAGGCATAGCTGAATAACACAGGCTGTAAATAAATGCAAAGATTCTGTTAAGCTTGTGGATAATCTTTGCGGGTTCATTTAACATTCAGGCAGTACTGCACTTAAACTTAAACCTGCCAGGGATTACAACCAAGTAATTAACTGAGTCTTCAATAAAGTCGTCACAATCTCAAAACAGAGTACTAGTGATATTGAGAAATTGATTTCTCTTTATGAAATTAAAATGGATATTTCTTCAATTAAAGTGCATTTGTTCAGGGAAAGGTCATGCCAATGGCTCCATTAATGCTTAGCCTCCTAGTCTTATTTTTTCTTTCAAACCCATCAAATCACTTTTGAAAAAGTATATGTACATTTTCGGTGCCTTAAAACTTTCATTACAGGGATTGATGGTAGATGCAAGTACAGTATAAATGAACATAATGCACTGAAGAATAATTTGTAGCTAAGGACATGATTAAACCTCCGGTTAGTTTATCTTTTTATAGCTTTTAGTTGTGTGCTGGTTACAGGGGCACATGGTCTGGGTTCTTGCCTGCTGAAGTAGTATTGTTTTCTCACTTGGAGAAGCTCCCTCTGAAGATAAACTTACTTTATGAATGACTGTTCTTCTGTCAATCCATTTTTAAGCCAAGCTCCCAACCTTGCAATGCCAACAGGGTGAGCAGAGGATTCTTCTGTTCCTTTTCCCAGCAAAATGTCCTGTTTTGGGATTCCTAGATGTTCCCAGGAGATGGCATATGTAATCCCTCCCACATGTTCTGGGTATGCCTGGGGTTTCCTCCCAGTTTCCTCCAAATGGAGGCTCCCAGACATCACAACTGGCTCTTCTCTGAGGAGGTAGCAGCTTGTTTCCAAAGCCTTCGAAATCATCAAGCATCTCTCTCTGAAACCTAAAGAGGGTCTGTGCTCAGCCACCCTGAAGATAAATATCATCTCTTATGCTTATATGTTTGTACCTGAGTCAGGCCACGGAGTAAAATTTGTAGGTGAATGCTTAAGACCATATGACACCCGTAGATGGTCAGGAACAACCCCAAAAATAGGACCTAGGACCATTTTCTTTATGGATCGCCTCTGAAAATGCAATTTATAGCAAGTTAATGAAAGCACATTGGACCATTGAAGGGTTGCAACCAAGTAGCTGAAAACATACTTCGGGGATGTTTTCTCATTATTTAGTACTTTTATCAAGGGCTGGGAAATATATATATAGTTTTTTTAGATATATTGATACATTTTCAAACAAGATATAGGGTAAAACAATAAAGTTAATATCAATATAGTTTTTATTGCATTAAAATAACAGTAAACACTCCTTTCATAGAGCTGCCAGTTTGCCTTTTTCTCCTCTATTTCTTCACATACACTCTTCACCATGCTCTGCCTCTCCCCCTCTCTAAGCACTGCATGTATTTTGTTTTTGTAGGAAAGGATTTATTTATTTTATTTAAGGAGCATTTTATTTAGTAACATTTTCAATTTCCAAAAAGGTTTTTCTCATGCACATGTTGACATTGTGCAGCTGGCTGATAATCAAAGTATTGTGTGACATTTGGCCCATTGTGGATTTGACTGATAACTGACTCTTTTTTTTTTTCTTTACAGAAAGGATAAATATAATGTATCACCGTTCGGCTAAAAAATATCGAGATATAATTTATGGTACATACCGACCAGCCCTACTTTGATCAAGTTAATTTGTTTGTCATAACATCCATTTTATGTAACATACATACAGTTGAACATAATTGTGTTACTAATGACCTGATATGCCAAAAAGATAATAAATAATAATAAACATGACTGAGGAACACATCATTTAAAATACAATAAATGACAATAAAAACAATAAAAGCAATAGCTAAAATTGACCCAATCTATGTTTACAAAAATGCATCCCCTTTCTGGTTTACAAGTTTTGTGGTTCAAAAAAAACATCCAGAAGTTCAAGGACCCAAAATAGCCTATTACCACTTATTACCAATCCATTGGTCATAGTGCATTGTTAACAGATTAATAGGGTTCATGGGCGGGAAGCTTGTTGTTACACCACCCCTCCTTTTCTTCTGTCCTACAGGAGGCTGGACGCGGCTGAACGTCCTCTACAGATTGTGTATGACTACCTCGCAGCTTTAGGCTACTCGGACCCTACGCGAGTGCAGCAAGAAGCAGCGAATTCAGACCTCAGCTGTTTGATCCGATTCTACAGTGGTGAGTACTTACCCACAAGGGCCTATCATCCCAAGTCCTTAATGCCTGCTGCTGCTCAGTGGGCTCTGGCAGGAGCCTTGTGTCTTCCTCTGAAAACATGGCCTGAAACCAGGCGGCAGCGAGTCAAATGTCAGAAAATGGTTTTACCATATACTCTTTTCATCTTTTCGGTGCCTGTGTGTGTGTGTGTGTGTGTGTGTGTGTGTGTGTGTGTGTGTGTGTGTGTGTGTGTGTGTGTGTGTGTGTGTGTGTGTGTGTGTGTGTGTGTGTGTGTGTGTGTGTGTGTGTGTGCTATGAGCAAAGATTTTCATCTGGATAAGGTAAAGGCAGTTTTTACTTCCTGAGAATGATGCCTTTCCGAAGGTGTCTCTAGTATTTAATATAGCCTTAGGCCCGACACACACCTATCATGGTCCTTTGATAGGAGACTGACCATCCGGTGGTGTCCCTACTGCTGTCGAAATGCTCTCATGACCTCGGGACTAGACGGACTAAGTGGCACTGTGTCTCTGTGAACTATTAAAGCTGTGGCAGAATAGATGCACCCTTTTTGAGAAACTAGTAACAAGTCTGTGCACAGCCCATATAATCCAACAGACGTCTCCAGCTCCCTTCATTTGAGTCTGAACTTCAGTCTAAAGCTACTCTTACAGTAGCATCATTTAAGGAGTTTGCCATCATGGGTAAATGGTTAAGATGACGTGTGTTTCCACTAAATAAGGCAACTGATGTTCCTGCTGAGTCAGTGGCACACCTCATGTTTGGGCTAAGAACTGATCTCTACTGCAGTGCCAGAAACAGAGAAAGACTGAGCAAACCACAGCGTCTAAAGGGCGCTGACTTATTTCCTTCCACATAAAGTACACATATATCCCTTCGTTTAAATGTGGTGTTGTACACTAAAAGGAAAATCTGAAATGAACACAAATTTCACCATCTGTGTATCGCAATTTGCTAGTTGACAAGGCATTCAGGAGCCGAATTTAGAAATCCTAACCAAATTTATGTCTTAGCAACAGATTTAATCCCTTTTGAAAAATATCAAACGCCAAAACTATGCAGCGATCTTTTTAAAGGAGAAATCAATACTATACACTTTCCAGAGCATCATTAGACAGCAGTGTTATGTTTTCTGACTGGAGCCAGCTTTTCTTTTGTTTTTACAATATTACATCTTTCTTCTTATGTTTGGTTGGTTTTTACAACTGATAATCTGTTTGTTTAGCTGAAACACATTTAAATCACAGTGCCCTCAATCTTGTTCCATGTCCCTTTGTATTCAGTAGAAGCTTACCTGTTGTTTTCCCTTTTCCAGAATGAGAATTGGTCGAATCTTGGGTACTATCAGTAGTCAGGCCACATTGGTCCGAGTCTAGCCAGGCCCCTCGGAGACTTCCTGCCTTCTTTTGTCCACTCATGGGAAAAGAGGGACAAGGCATGACTGGTACTTGGCTGCTTGAAACACTGCCATGGCTGTGAAAACAACTTGATTGGTCCATAGAGCTGGGAGTGTAGTTAGAACGTACTGTTGTGGAGTATTACTTGTGGCTGTTAGTTGTGAAATATCTTTTGTAGATTATCGTTCTACTCGTGTGTAGGAGCTCTCCAGTCACACAGCTGCACAAACTCATTTTTTTTAAAGCAGAAAGAAACCTTGGTTTTCATTCCCACCCACAGCAGCGTTTCAGGTGGGCTGTGATGTGTTGTTGAAACACACAACAGCGGCCGTGTTCTGAGATCCGTCTCCCCAGGTGCTTGCTTGTCTAACAGCTGCTGTCAGAGGTAATGATCTGACGAAGCAGGTGAGGGACGCTGTGGTCCATCAGTAAAGACTGCATCTCATACAGAACCACCTGATGTGGTGCACTGCCTGTGTCAGCCCTGCATTTGAGAGGCTTTGTAAGTCGACATAGACTTCTTATCTATCTGAAATAAGTCACAAGTTAAACCTTAGGCTTTGCTGGTTGATTTAAGTGTACGTAATATATTGCTGATGGTGCAGGGTTCATGTGCCTATATTGATATAACTGTCACAGTGACAATACAATGCCGGTCATGTTTTTGTTCCTAATGCTAAGTGGGTCTGAAAATGATGTGAAAAAAAAAAAAGAAGAAGAAGAGACAACAGAATCCCGCCTTTTCAGAAAGAAAACAACATTTGGTTACAATAAAAACATTGACCACATTCATTTCCAACTTAAATGGAAAATTCCTTTCTGCCAGAGAAATACCCTGTCTCATTACCCTTCGGGGACAAATAACGTTTTTTGAATTGAATTGAATTACTATTAATAGCAGGAGATGCAAGTACGTATCAGTAAAAAAAATGTATGTCAGTGGTCTACATGGAAAGGAGGAGTTGATTTATTTTACTTTTTGTAGGGTTGCATGTTTGCGCATTCTTTTATGTCATTATTATTTCTTTATTTAGATGTTCTGTGCAAAGTGGGATAAGCAGGAAATGTATTAAATTCCACCATCCCCTTGTTTGTTTTAGAAAGTGGTCTCTAACCTTTTGAATCCTCCTCTTCCCACACACACACCCTCCTGCCGTGGTGCACAAATGAGAGGAAAATAAACATGGACAAGGGAGTAAACATTTCTAAATGCTGACTTAATAAAATGCTTTTAATAAAAACAAGTGCAGAGACCTTAGGGACCATTGGTTCTCTGTTGGCCCACGCAGCTGCAGCACACTCAAGGTCCGCTGTAATCTCTGCCCCTGGTCCACTGGGACCTGATCCACCTCTGCCTGGGAGATCTTTGTCTGTACTGTGCTTAGACCAAGTGTCAGTGTCAGGGCAGAAGGAATTAAGTCATCTGTGTGCAGTATGAACTCACCTAATAAGCGATTGTTTTGGCTGGGGCTGTTTTACTAATGGAAATTAAACTTGAATGCAGAACTGTGGATGTGTCAACCTGTGACAACATAGATACAACTTTATATTGCAGGCTGAGGCCAATTGGTTCAGTAATAATCCATGGGAAACAAAAAGAGGGGTCATCACAGGGATGGACAGAGCACAAGGTTGTTTCTTCATTTTATGGTAGAAAGGAAGACAAAATTGTTAACAGTGACAGGAGTGGAGTAGCAGTCGGACTGAAATTTAGGATGGAATTTGTATTCAGATCAAGGTTCCCGCGAAATTGCCCTGAGCAACAGAGCTCTGCAGAGAGCAGGCTCTCCGTGGTTTCCTGTCATCTCTTCCCTGTTATATGCTATAACTGTGATGCAGCTCTGCTTATACTGAGTTTTTCCTCTTTCTCATTTGAAATCTGCAGACTCTTTCACATCCTAGACCCATGGTCAGTTTTCAAGTCAGCTGGCTCACTGCTGCTGAAAAAAACCCATTTAAATCCTTTCTATTATCTGTTTTTAAAGCAGTAATCAGTTGTGTATTATCTGTATTCTGCTCAGTGTAGCGTTGCTATAGATGATATAAATTGTATTTCTGACACAAAGTTTAAAGAAGAGTTATTTTATGAAAGGTAAAGGACCACCAAGAGAAGGCATCTGGGAGGTGGGTTGAATTTGAATTCGCTGCCAAAAAGAGCTTGCTGTTCTGAGTCAAATCAGACTGTGTTTCCGCCTTCACTGACCCCCTACTGCATGCTAACGCAATCTATGCAATCTTGAGCAAGACAAAAAAGCTCTGGGATACAGGGAGTATTGTGTTCAACTGAGTGCTCAACAGTTGAATTTAAATCATCCAGTATGTGATTAAAAACAGATTCAAGAAAGTACAAACACCCAGACCAAGATTGGGAGCTACAAGCTTAAGTTGATACAGAAGAAGAGGTGAAAATGGCACAATGATTGGACAAATTGTTTTTTTTTCAATAAAATAATAAAATAAAATAATAATAAAAATATATTTTCAATCTCAAGGTATGCCTTGAAACATGGTCATCAATAATAAAAACAAATAAAGATTTATTTTGTAGTTATAAGACCATTATTTAAAAAAAAAACTCATACATTTGAGAGACTTAAATCATTGTATGTTTAACGCAACTTTTGACAAAAGGCTTTAGTTATATTTATATATTTTCATTCTTATATATTACACTCCTCATAGCCCATTTCCTTCATACCCCCTTCTTTCTGCACTTGCTGGTCCCTTCTATGTGTTTAACCAATAATTTTAATTCTTCAGTGATAAAGGAGCTGAGTTTCATGAGTGAAGACTGATAGCCACGCTTAAGGTGAACAGAGCAGAGTTATAGTCGAGTCCTGAGTCCGAATCCAAGTCTGAGTCCTCAAGGTTGAGTATGAGCCAAGAATCAGTTCTCCACTTGAGCAAATACATTTATTGATTTAATTAGGTCAAATGCTTGTTATCTGAGTTTTAACTCTCAAATTTCTAAGTCTTTATGTTTATACTGAACCTTATTTTATTATTAAGACACAGAGCCAAATTATCATAAAATTATTTATCAAAAATGTTGAGCAGTGCAAGCTTTCAGCTGATTCTTTAATGTGTTGTATTGGTATATTAGCTGTTTACAGAATGTGTGCAGTAATGTCACAGTGATGTCGCTGCAGTAAAAATCGAGACATTAAAGCAGCAAAACAAAAACTATTCTAAAATCGTATAATTTGAATGGACAGAGAAACATTTCCGGAGAGGACTGACAAACTTTTAGTCTAAAATAAAATATTGAATACAGCTCTGATAGAGCTCAGGATTATAAGGGAGATCGCTGTTTTACTCCAAACTAATTCACTCCAAACTATTTCACTCTATGAACCTTCACTGACTACGTCATTTATTTGTCAATATAAGATTCTGACTATCATGTTGGCGTGTCCATTCATTTAAAGTACTGTGAAGGAAGTCACAGCATTATGGAGAAATGGGTTTCACGTCCTTCTTGGGGAGACACAGGTTGTTTTTGCTGCAGTGGGTTCACTGCATGTTTCTAATAAACTCCTACCTGCAATCCACCCGTTTTTAATCAGAATTTAAAATTGTATAATGCCTTTTGGCCAATCCGTA